AATAAGCCGATTTGGTCATGTGTTGTTTATGTATGAAGACAAGTGATAGTCAAGATGTGATCCATTGACTTGGTATAGATTGATATCAAGTTCCTATACAAATGTCAAGATACATTGGAAAAGGGAAATCTCCAGCCGGGGTATATAAAATGTTACCTGAAAGGTTGTTTCATGGTGACACGTTCCCTATGTATTAATTGTCAATTTGATATAAAATTAAGACAAGGATTTTGACATACCATGAATCCATTTTTAATTGGGATTAGACAACGGAAGGATTTGATTACACAGCGCATATGATTATAAAAGGGTTCATTGGAGTATATATTTATTGTGACTTAGGGTTTATTGAGCATTGTTAGATGTCTACCATAATTGGTGGGAGTTTTGGTCATAAAAAGTTATGACGAAAGATATAGGAACATACTATAATATTGGGCCTACGGCTATGCCACAGTGAACCTAAGAGTCACACATAAAAACTAAGGAGAATTGAGAAATAACCAAAGAGAGTTGATTATCCAAGGTTTGCTAGCACCTACCAAGGGTAATAAAGTTATTTATATTATTATCATTGAATTAGATTCAATGGAGGGTTATATTAGTCATTATGAATAATTTAAGAGTTAAATTGCTAATTGGAATTAAATGGAATTCCAATTCATAATCAATCATTTTCTTTATATCAAATTGAATTTAATAATGGGTTGTAATTGTAAACATATAAACAATTTAAAGTTTAAATTGTTGTAAACAATTTAAAGTTTAAATTGTTGTAAACAATTTAAAAGTTAAATTGTAAATTATGATTAAATGTTAATCCAATGTTATTATTTAAAGAAGTTTAATAACTTCATAATAATTATACAATTATTTACAACTCCAAAACAATTATGGAATTGTTTAAGGAAATCCAAAACAATTATTGAATTGTTTACAAGGCTACATATAAAAAAAAAATGATATATCAATTTTAAGAGAGAGATCAAAAATTTCTAAGAACCCTAAATGTCTCTTTTGGCCTAATTCTTCTTTTACTTTAGTGTGGATACTCTTTTATTTAATTTCTCTTGAAATTAAAAGTCTCCAAGGTTGCTAAGGACTTAAGATAACAAGCCATACCTTGTTTTCAATTTGAATGAAAATTCTTGCAAAATACTAATGTACATATTATAGTATCACATGCGTCATTCTCCATGCATTCCAACTTTCAGTTTGTCTAATACACAGTTCTCACCAAAACTCCAGAGTTGAGACTGTGTCCTTACCAATTTGCCCTTGATTGTTCCGAGCATTCATCCTTCTTTGGCTCATATGACCCACCCAACCTTAGGTGTCATTTCTTAGTCACAGACAGATTAGAAGAAATAAGAGTAAAACTATTGCATTCAGAATAGAAACATCCACAAAGTATGTAAAGACCATTTTTCTTCTCTCCTTTTAAGACCAGGTTCTCATTTGTATATACGTTTAGACATCCATTATCAGCCCTATAGCAGTATCCTACTTCATCTAAGGTCTTTCAGGACATGAGGTTCTTTTTAAGTTTTGGAATATACCTTACTTTAGTCAATTTAATTAGCTTACCCCCACTTAGCCTTAAAGTTGTATTGCTTATTCCCTTAACCCTATAGGCATAGTTATTTCCCATGAAAACAGTCTCATGCTCAGAGGTTTTAAACTCTTGAAACCAACTCCTATTAGGGCTCATGTGAAAAGTGTAGCTAGAGTCTAACACCCCCTCCTTGGCAGTGTCAGATCTAACATTGTAAGGATTTCAGGTTCATCTATCAAGCTTTTAGTTGAGGCTAAATTACTTTCTGTGTTTCCTAGTTTCTGTTTCTTAATCCATTCAAAGCAATTTTTCTTCAAGTGGCTAGTTTTGTTATAGTAGAAACACTTCTTATTTCTACTTTTGACTTATTATTTCCTTTCCATTTTTTCTTATTCTTAGCCCCATGATTAAACTAATTTCCTTTACCAGGTTGATTGGACTTGACTCTACCTTTTACAAACAGGTTACTGCCATTTCTTTTATGGACCTTAAGCTCTAACTCCCCAGCCTTAAGTTCGGCTATGATCAAATCTGAACTAGGTACAGTATTAGAGTACTGTAGTGCATTCTTGACTACTTGATAATTATCAGTCAGTGAATTTAATAAGATCATGGCAAGACTAGTTTCTCCTAACTCTTAAAGATCAGAGTCATCTTTAAGAATTCATCTAAATTATCCTCAATAGATTAGAATTGTCCATTTTATAAGAGAATAATGCACCTTTTAAGAAAGCAAGATCAGTGTAGATTGTAATGCATACAGAGATTCAAGATTACCCCATAGTTAAAGAGGAGTTTCGAGTCCATATACCTTTTGTAGAACACTGTCTGACAAGTTGATCACGATCAAGTTGTAAGCTTCCTCATCGATCTCCTTATTCTTCTTTAATTTCTCCTCTAACCACTTCTTGGTGTCCTTCTCTAGTGCGATAACTATTTTGTTATGAGATAGAAGAGCTTTCATCTTCTTCTTCCAACTTCCGAAATCGATCTTCCCATCATATTGGGTGATCTCCAACCGAGTGGTGGTTGTAGTTGTCATGGTGTGGTGTTTGATTTTAGGGATTACCCGACTTCAAACCCTAAGATTTTATCTGAGATTTTCACAATCCTAGAAACCTTAGATTTTTCCCGAAATGTTGTCAAGATTGACAAATTTCTCTCAAATCCCAGATCTCCAACCTTTTATGATGACCTAGGACTATCAAGATTGAGAAACCCCTAAAATTTATTAAAAACCCTATATCTCTAGAAATTGAATCTGATCAAATTTTAGAAACACAAGATTCTAATCTAGACACCGAGAGCTCTGGTACCAATGTTATGAATTAATCCAAAAACTCCAAACCTAAGACACATAATCAATCACACAAGAACAAGAAAAGAACATGGCGATTTACCGTGGTTCACTTATCCAATGTTTAGATAAGCTACATCCATGTTGAGCTGCGGAAATGGAGGAGCTCACTACACTAATATTACTCAAGAATCATAGTTACAAACCGGCAAAAGAACATCCTACAAAAAATACCCTTAAATCAAGATCAACCCGTAATAGACCCCTAGAGAATCTCACCCTGGAAACTCCAATCAAAGAGATCTAACCCTCTTATAGAATGATTATAGCCTAATCACTCAATCTACCCAGTTACAACAAGTTTAGATCAAGAAATTTTCCAAACCCTAGCTAAGAACTTTTGCTCGATGAAAAAGATGGCTTGCTTGATTGAATCTGTTGAATATGTGAGTTTATATACCGTTGACCAAGAGACAGATTGTAGCCGTTGGATTAGAGAATCATTGACGACCAGGATTCACTTAACCATGCTTAGAAATGACACCATCCAACTTAAACCCAAAGTGACATCATTTTCAAGCTTCCATTTCAACAACAACTCTAGTAAAATAAATATTAATCACCATAAAAACTTCTTATTAAAGATTACAAAAATGTTTTTAATCCAAAGCAATATAAAATAAATGTAACAGCAATTCTAGATTTAAGAATAACTTGGTGGTGCATTTAAAATTTTACATAATCCGCCATTAAAAATAAATCCATTTACTATTCTTAGTTTAAATCAATTAGCTTAGGGTTTTTTGTTTTTCTAGTTACATGGTTAGTTTGTGTTTAAAATGATTAATAATAACATCTTTCTTTAAATTTTTGAGTTCAAATTTTTGGATCACCTATTATAATAACATTACGACTTATCTAGTCTTTTGAACTTATAAAGTGTTCAATAGATCTATAAGATGCGCAAATTGGCCGTCAACGACTACAAGAACAAGAAAATAACACCCTCAATTAACGAGTAAAGACAAATTGAAGGTCTCGTCTAGTCCACTCAAATTTGGTGGGCACTGTTTTTCTACCCTCAACACCACACGTGAAGATATTATTTTATTAACAATAAAAAATGTACTTCAATTAAGAGATATTTTCCCTGTACGTGTGGTGTGTGTGACGTAGTAGTAGTACTAGCATTGGTGCCGATGCCCAATCCTAAATTAATCGTTCTCGTCTGAGGCTAGTTTTGTAATTTACCAAATGGTTTTTATTAAATTTGTAGAACTGATGATTTCTCATAAAGATGATATAATATTTTATTTAATAAGAGTAATGTTATATTTACATTACTCTTTACATCATTTTTATTACATCATGATGTGGCATATGCTACATCCACATAAATTTTTAATTATTTTGAATTTTTAATATTATAATAAAATTATTTTTACTAAAATAGTCATAGTGTAATGAAAATGGTATAAATGATGATGTAAATGTAGTATTATCCTTTCAATAAAATAAAACTATACAGTAGTTTAATAACTTTTTTATAATTGTACTTGTATTATATTATCCAATAAAGAACCAATATTACTTAAATTATATAAACATATTTAATGCTGTTGATGTATGTGGTCCGCATCAACCAATTTTGTAGTAATAATGACTTCATTTGATACAGGAGACATTTATACAAATTTTTCATATAAATAAATATAATATTATTTTAATTGATACATGATTCACTTATTTCACTGTCTATAAAGTCAATTTATAATATAGAAAATTTTGTACAAAGAGCTTCTGGGTAACCTTACTCTATTACTATTTTCTGTAATGCATCCAGTGTTTGGTTAATTTTTTTTTATATGTGATACTTATAACAATTACTAGGCTAGGGTACCCAGTACAGGAGTTGGTTAAATTTTTGTTAGGGGTTTTATAGCGTACAAAACCCTTGTTTTAATACAATCATACACCGCTTAATCCGACCCACCACAATCCAATCCGGCTGATCACTGGTTGTCAGTCACTGGCTCTAAGCAGTATCAAGAGGCCGGGGTGACTTGAACCCCAGGCGCACAATAGCAAATTGTAAACAATCACTCTCCTATAAAATCTCTCAAATGATTTCCTTCATTTCCTTTCCAGCTGTCTCTTATCTCTTAACTAGTCACGAATGGCGGCGGCTGCAGCGACATCCTTCACTCCCTCTCTCTCAACACCTGCAACATCTTCTTCTGAAACCCTAAAGCCAGCCTTCACAACTCTCAACCTAGGGTTTCTCTCGTCGACCTCAAAGTCATTGAGAGCTATGAAAGCTACCACCGGTGGAAATGGTGTCGGTGTGGGGTCAGCTCTCGGTGTGCGCATGGTGTCGATGCCGACGATTAAGACTCCTACCTCTCTCGATTTCGAGACCTCTGTCTTCAAGAAGGAGAAGATCTCTCTCGCTGGCCACGACGAGGTATAATTACACTTCAGTTTGTTTTTATTAGTTTTTGTTTGTTTGTGATTGTGTTGTGAGATTTGATAACTAAATATTAATATATGGAATTTGTTAATTTTGTAGTACATTGTGAGAGGAGGAAGGGATTTATTCAAGTTGCTGCCTGATGCATTCAAGGGGATTAAGCAGATTGGCGTTATCGGTTGGGGTTCTCAGGTATTTTGAACATTTTCTTAATCAGCATTTTACTTTGAAGATACGCATCTTTGGGGCGTTACATTTAATTGTTATGGTGACTGTGGAATTTTTTCCAGTACTATTATCTAACCTATACTTATTGAAAATATTGATTCATAGGATGGCTAATGGATCTGTTAATTTTTTTTGCATGTGTTATAAAATTATACAGCCGAATCATTTATATTGTTTTTCGCTTGAGTTCTCGTGGCTATCTTATTCTGCATGTTAAAGCTACCTTGCTCTCTTTTTTTCTGTTCAGGGACCTGCTCAAGCTCAGAATTTGAGGGATTCCCTTGCAGAAGCAAAATCTGATATTGTTGTCAAGGTAATCTCTAATTGCATTTTATTTTGATCGATTTTTCATTAGTTTTTTAGCTGATTATCTCCTTGTGCTCTTTGAGTTAATTCTTTTGTCTGAGTCTGTATTTCCTTTCCTTTGTTTGCTTTATACATCATAGATTGGGCTTAGGAAGGGCTCTCGTTCTTTTGCTGAAGCTCGTGCTGCTGGCTTTACTGAAGAGAATGGAACTTTGGGTGATATATGGGAAACTGTATCTGGCAGTGATCTGGTGTTGCTATTGATTTCTGATGCTGCACAGGTTGGTTTAGCATACTCTTGATTTGTGTTAAAATATTAGCTGATTTGAATGGTGCTTACAGGACTGAACAATTCTGTGATTTTTCTGTTTTTATATTGGTTGCCATGGTCCAAAAATACGTCTATGTATTCAAATTACCAAGATACTATAGTCATAAGTAATAACAAAGATAGTAGGTTTTTTTATTTTATTTTATTTTATTTTAAATGCTGAGTTCCTTGCTGGTTGTATGCCTATTCTGTTTTGTTTCTCTATGTGAAATGATTGAAATTCTATCTGCAACTGGAGAGTGTGGACTAGGGAAATGAAGGTGAAATGCTAGAAATTAAATATATAAGGTTGTGCCCTTTCCTCCTTCCCATATATCACTAGAACTGAAGGAACTTTGTTGCTTTTTGTTGAAAGGTTCTACTGTTCTGCTCTTGATGATGTTTGGTTCTGTCATTTATTATTTTGTGCGGGGGATCTGATTTAATATTATTTTGCAGGCAGACAACTATGAGAAAATTTTCTCTCACATGAAGCCAAACAGCATCCTTGGACTTTCCCATGGTTTTCTTCTTGGGCATTTGCAGTCTATGGGACTTGATTTCCCAAAGAATATTAGTGTGATTGCTGTGTGTCCCAAGGGAATGGGTCCATCTGTGAGGAGACTTTATGTTCAAGGCAAAGAGATTAATGGTGCTGGAATTAATTCCAGTTTTGCAGTCCACCAGGTTTGCTCTCTACTCATGTGCCTGTAGGTTTTGTGCCCTGTAACCCAATCTATTTAGCAGACTTTAGGTACTAAATATTATGTTCGCAGGATGTTGATGGCAGAGCCACTGATGTTGCCCTGGGATGGTCAGTTGCCCTGGGTTCTCCTTTCACATTTGCCACCACTTTGGAGCAGGAGTACAAGAGTGATATCTTTGGGGAGCGGGGTGAGTGCTTTTCCCACATCTCTAATTTTATGAACTTAATTCTCAATTTCTGACATTTGCTTCTCTATGGATTCTAGGCATTTTACTTGGTGCTGTTCATGGAATTGTGGAGTCCTTGTTTAGAAGGTACACTGACAATGGAATGAGTGAAGATCAGGCTTACAAGAATACTGTTGAGTGCATAACAGGAATTATATCAAAGACCATCTCAACTCAGGTAGCCTTGTGATGAAATTGTAGAATTTGTTTTCTCTACACACATAAAAACAGTTGCTTCTTTCCTTTGATGGATGTGTCTTTCACAGTGTAACCATTTCCAATTTTGTATTTTCTGTTAACAGGGTATGTTGGCTGTTTACAACTCCCTGTCTGAAGAGGAGAAAAAGGAATTCGAGACAGCTTATAGTGCCTCATACTATCCTTGCATGGACATCTTGTATGAGTGCTATGAAGATGTAGCCAGTTGTAGTGAGATCCGCAGTGTTGTCTTGGCTGGGCGTCGGTTTTATGTAAGTTACTATACTATAACTTGGATCAATTTGAAGTAATTGTCAACTCTGATCTTTTAATTGGTTTTAAGTAATATTATGTTCAAATAAAACTGATTTTTGAAGTAGTTGTCAACTCTGATCTTTTAATTGGTTTTAAGTAATATTAATGTTGAAATAAAACTGATTTTTGGATATGCTTTTGATTTATAGGAAAAGGATGGTCTACCAGCTTTCCCAATGGGAAAAATTGATCAGACTCGCATGTGGAAAGTTGGTGAGCGAGTCCGATCAGCACGGCCAGCTGGTGACTTAGGTCCGTTGTATCCCTTTACTGCAGGTGTCTATGTGGCTTTAATGATGGCCCAGGTATGGGGATCCCCTTTAGAGTAATTTGTGATATTGTTAGTTACTTGAACAGGAATATAGTGGCTAAATACCCTTTTCCATGGGATAATTCTGTGGAATGCTCTCTTGAAAAAAGAAGAGATTATTTAAAAAAAAAAAAAAAATTGACATTATTTAAAAATTTTAAATAATCTTTAATGGATACAATCAACTTTGGTAGCTCTGGAATTCAGTATTCTGAGAATTTTAAATTGACTTTTCGTGATTATAAGGTTTGTAGATTTAGATCCTTCACTTCATTCTGTTTAGTGATATCCTACTTTTGGATTTAAAATTTCCAGATTGAAATCTTGAGGAAGAAAGGGCACTCATACTCTGAGATCATCAATGAAAGTGTGATCGAGTCTGTAGATTCATTGAACCCATTTATGCATGCTCGTGGTGTTTCTTTTATGGTGGATAACTGCTCTACAACAGCTCGGCTAGGATCAAGGAAATGGGCCCCTCGTTTTGATTACGTCCTCACGCAACAGGCTTTGGTGGCAGTGGACAGTGGTGCCCCCATCAACCGAGATCTCATCAGCAACTTCCTTTCAGATCCAGTGCATGGAGCCATTGAAGTCTGTGCTCAATTGAGACCTACCGTCGACATTTCAGTTCCACCAGATGCAGATTTTGTGCGTCCAGAGTTGCGTCAATCTAGCAATTAAGTCCTGGAGCAACCTTTGGCTTGAAGTAGCCAACAAAATTCCCTCTACAGGGATATTCGGGGCAGAAACCTTGTGCTATCTATGAGCTGTAGTTGTATTTATCTATCTAGTTTGCTTTGTTAAGTGGTATTCTATATATGTAGAACGACACTATTATCTATGAGTTTGATGTTGGAGGAGATGTGGAAATGCTTTCTATATTTGGGGTGAGAGAAGTCCCGAGTAGAGAGTGCGTTTTATAATAGTTCATGCATTTCAATGAGTAATATCTTTTTCAGAAAAGGGTTGCTTTTCGGGTTTTTCTGTTTTTCTTTTTTTTTTTTCGTTCCCTCTTGCAGCCCATTTGAGAATAAAGGAGGCAGATCATAATTCATAAGGGAAAGAGAAGCATATATACTTTGAAAGATTTTAACAAACTAATAGGAAGATCTCCTTTTGCAGTCAGAATTTACTTAATTTTACTGATTTCATGGTGGACTCGATATAAAGAGTGTAAGTTATTTTCAACGTTCTCTCCGTTTATCTTTTTCTTCTCAGAAATTTAAGCGGAATTAAGAAAATAAATGTTTTGAGAATGTTAAATCAAGTACTTATACGTTTTTATTGATACGAATTCTTCGTGCAAGTAGAGTTCGTTCTCCTAGCTTACAAGTGTTTAGTGTTTACATCTAGTTTTGCAATTTCTTGCTAACGAGTACTATGATCCCGATTTCTTTATATATAACGTAAAATTCTTTAAAATTTGGTTGAAAATGGAGTTGAGTATGATGAACCAGGATTCTGAAACAAAGGCTAGAAAGAAACTGCAACGATCTTCATACGTTTATACAATGACAGTTCTACATATTCATTTCAGGTACATAAGTTTCTTCTGAGATTCTGAACAGCCAAAACTTGGCAATAGAAGGCTAGAAGACAGTACAGGAGGCATATATAAAGAGTAGTAGTCTACATATAGGAATTGAAATAGACGGCAGCTGCCCTTTAATTTCGATTATAATAATTTTATGCAGTGGGGTAAGAGGCTTCCATAGCTATACCACAAAGCCCTTCCTTAGCAGCAATACCTCTTTGCATCATAATGTATCCTCCTTCTCCCCACCCTGTGCCCCATGAGTTCTTCACCAGCCAATACTTGGTCCCATCACTGCTCACTCCATAACCGACAGCAGTAACTCCATGGTCTAGTTCAGTTCCACACTGACCTGTAAACACACCGCTCGAATAAAACTGGAAGTCAAAACCTCCAGCATCAATGGCAACAGAAATCGGTTGATTAGCTACAGCCTTCAATAGTGCCGCTTCGCTATTGGCTGGCACATCCTCGTATCCCTTTATTTTGGCTGCACGACTAGCCTCCTTGCTAGCACTGCATTTTCCATCCACTCCCTGGTATGGGTAGGTCGTTTCTGATGCTATCCCATGATTCTGTAGGATAAATTTAAAGGCATCGTCCATTAAACCACCATTACATCCTTCATCCTCGCCCTTGATGTCACAGTCTACCAACTCTTGCTCAGACAGAGATACTAATTTTCCAGTTGTTAGCTGATTAATTCCTTCAATAGCCGCAACTGCTGAAAATGCCCAGCAACATCCTGTGTATCCATCACACACAAGAGTTAGAATTTAGAAATTAAGATTGTTATTTTTCTAACACAAAATTTCGCTTCATTAAATATATATATATATATGTTACCGCATTGTCCTTGGTCTTTGACGGGTGTTACAGCGCCTTTCTTTCTCCAATCCATCGAAGGCGGCACTGCAGTAACGTTTTCATATTTGAATGAAGCTGTCTTTGTTAATTCAGAGCACATATGGCCCTTAAATCTATTTCGTGTGGCTTTGAACTCTTCGTTTGTAAGATCAGCAAATCCATTGACGCCTAGTTTGTAAGATTTGTCATTGGCCTTGTTGAAAGCCTCGATACGTGCCACATTCTCCTTGAAAATATTGTAGCGCTTCTCCTTCTCATTGGCGTCCTTGTACACACGCCCATAACCAGCCATCCATTCTTCATGCCTCTCGTACATTGATACATCCTGGAGACTACGAGACATGGCCTGCGGAGCCCAAGCTCCCAGTACGAAGATCAAAGCAAAGCAAAGGAATTGGAACTGCTGGTTTCTGAATCCCATTGTAGCTTTTCTTGCTGCAAGTAACTATAGATGAATTGAAGTAGTGAGTGAATATGCACTTTCTTTTGACATTTATATAGAAATTTTCTTCTCCAAATTCATGTTCTGTGGTGTGAAGTTTTGTCCGGGAAGGCCTATTACACATCAGCGTGCCGGATAAAATTTGATGATTTGATCTGATTACTTATTGTTCCGTTTGAGCCACACTCCGCAAACTTGTCGCTTTATATGAAAATGAGTTGACGCATTGGAGTTTAATTACATAAAACCAAAAGGAATAAAAAGAAATGATATGTGGTGTGCCGTTTCATTCATTCATGTAAATATTTCAACATCCCAATCACATGCAACAAATGATCGATGTATCTAAAGCATCATAATAAAACATGAATAGAACTAGAACCATCAGCCTCAAAGAATCATATACATGATCCATTATTAACCCTTAAGTATTGGTTATAGTTCCTTGATGTAAAGTTGCAGAAGTTGTGTTTATGATGATATGAAGTGATGCAATTAACACACTGAAAACAAAGAATTATTCTGAACCCATCTCAAATTTTCATCCTAAATAAGCTGTCATGCAATATTATATTTTATAATTTATGGATTTGGCTAAGTTCTAAATGCTCATAAATTACAAAGCACACTCCTTGTGATCCCCACTATTCTGGCCACTGATTGTTTAGGAGCACTCAAATTTCATCACAATCATTTGAATCACATGGATGGCATGTACAGTCTCTTTCTCAAGCAAATTCCATCTTCATTAATAATCTCCTCAATTTTGGGCCTAGTTCAGGCCTGCATCCATATTAAATCAAAATTCAAAACCACTTCTTCATGTGAATCAACTTCATCTTTAATATTAATAATATTGCTTCGTATTTAGCACGAAAAAGATAAAGAGTGGTGTCGTTTTGTTCAGCTTCATTGGCAGATGCTTCCAAAATGGTTCATATTTTGACAAAACACTCAGACTTTCCAAGTTCATTTCAACTCTCAAGGCCCCCAGTAAACAGTTCCGTACAAATTTGTTAATGAATGACAGAATGAACAAATTAAAAAATAGGTGTAAGAACTCCATCCAATAGATTGGAATGTTTTTTTTTTTTTTTTTTTTAAATTCATAATTACCACTTGCAAATAAATTGAAGAAATGGAAAACAGTTTGATGAGGATGGATATAGGTGGAAGTGGGTCCTTTTTTTACTTTAATTTAGTGAAGTACAAGGATACCATAATCCAAGCCTTTTGTTACTTAAATTAAGCCTAGCTGTTGATCATGTGACCAATTTTATGTTAATAACAATTCTCAAACTGGACCCCCATGATCTTAGAAGATCATAAATGGAAAACACCATATCCCATTACCATCATCACCACTCAATCTTCTATTCTCATTATATAATAAGCTTGAAATTCTTCTGCTTCATGATATTTCAACTTTATTGTATTTTTTTTTTTTTTAATAATTGGGGATGTTCGAGTCAATTTGTGTACACCTCTACTTATCTTTTGAAGTTAACGATCAAATAAGCTTACAGTGGTACTCCTATTAAGAGCCGGATGGATTAAAATAATACACTCAAAAGTTCTAATTGTTCGCTTGATCTTCCAATGATGATTAATGTTACTGTATTACCTATGACATCTTTTTAGTTTTAGGAGAGTTTAGATGCAAGAAATATAAATGATTATAATTCTGCAGCTAAAGATAGAAAGACACAATCATATAAATTATTAAAAAAGTATTAATTTTCTCAAATTTAAGAAAGCCCAGAAAAAAAGAAAAGAAAAGTAAAGGAAGAGATGGGTGTTGCTGCTGCTAACTCTTTCCAAATAAAAAAGAAAGAACAGTAATAACTGAAAAGTTATTCCATGATTTACCTTTTACTTTCTAACAACTAAAAGTAACTGCAAAAAACAATTTGATGTCCTTGACAAATTTTGGTTTAAAAGTGTGTACAAAGAATAAAATAAAAATTATCATAAATGAAGTGTTAGTGAGTAGTGGATATTTATTTTGTGACAAAATTACTTTAAAACCCCTCGATGTATGCCCTAAATATGCTGTCTCGGAAAAAACTCCTAACTCCCTGCTGTTTGTCAGGAGCTATTTCTGAAACGAAAGGGGTTTTGTGATTAAGATATACTTTGGGGGGTTCAAAAATATTTTCTGTCGTTTTCTCAACCCTTAATACTCAATCTAACAAACTATCCTATAAATTAATTTTGTATCCGTATCTTATTCAATAAATATTTATTTGGGAATAAGATAAACTAATATATATTAAAGCTGTAAATGTATATTCAAATTCTAAGGAAAACAATAATTCTTAGTCACAATTACAACGTACAATGTCTAAAATAAATAAAACAATTTAAATTGTAAATTTCTGATTTCTGAAACGCAAAAATATTTACTTTGTAATTATAAATTTACTGAATTATCAAAAACAATTTCGCCCTAAGAAATTGCAAAAGCCGAGCCGAGCTGAGCTGAACCTGGGAAAGTGAGCGGGAAGCAGGGAACATGATTGGGATTTGGAAAAAGAAAAGAAAATAAAAAGTGATAAGGAATTAGGACGTGGCTGTTTCTCTGTAGTCAACATCAAGTCTAACTCGGCTCGGCTGAAGAACAAAAAAAATATTCCTAAAAGAAAATGAAAATATTCTGTCAACGTTAATAGACGGCGTCAATTTGATGAGTGTCTGATGTGCTTAGCTGGAGGCCGCTGGGGAATGCTATTGCTTAGGGTTCCCTGAATGGCCCAGCTGGCACGGCACTCTGCACATGGCCAGCTGCTCCTGTCTCCATTTCAGAACCCTTTTTTATCCTCGTTTGATTTCATCATTCACATCTTTACCCTTCTTCCAATCACCATTTTCATAGGAAAACTCATTTAAACCTTCCCTCACATTTGTTGTTTTTGTTTAATTTATCTAAGTAGAAAAAAGGTGGAATTGGTGGCATGTCTGGTAATGTTATGGAAAGAGATGCTGGTGGTTTTGGATATTAATAAATAGAATAGGATGGTTACGTTAAACATAGAAGTTTGGTGGCCAATTATAGACATTATTAACTTTACTCTTGCAAATATGTAGTGATGGTCCTCGTAATTGAGGAAATATTCGGTGATCAATATACTCCCATAATTCAACATCTATTTGAGGACCACTTTTTAATTTAATTAAATAAATGGACAATATTTATGATTTATTTTTACACTAGTATGAAGTAAATAAAAAGAAAAAGAAAATGGTTCTAGTCAGTGATTAGCTTAATTTTTTAATAATCCCAAATTACTTATTTGAAATTTCCTTTTTAAGGGAACCAATCTTATATAAATTTAACAATACGAAATATAAAATCCAAATATTTTAAATTAAGAATAAATTGGTAAATGTGAAAAACGGAGTTAGGGTAAGTAGAGAAATGTGGCAAGTACGGAATGGTGTAAGGAGCTAAATTTAATTAAAAAAGGCAATTTCTGGATTTTGAATAAGTAAATGGAAGTTTTCTCGGTAATGATACATGATTATGGATTTTGTTAATGTATTGCTTTTGGTTTGCCCCTAAAATCGCGAGCAAGAGCAAGAGTTGTGTTGAATTCAATTCAAATAAATGGAATTTGCTGGCAAATTAAAGAGTGGCGTAGTGGACTCGCACAAACATCAATTTTAATTATTTTTATCTGACAATCTTTCTTTTAAAATAATCCCTTTTGTAAAATGAATTAATTTGGATGAAAAATAAAAACGGAGCCGTAGAGGAAAGAGAGGGAGGGGAAGCTTGGAGCTGTCTCGTGAAGGAGCAGGGGAGGTAAACTGTAAGGGAGTGAGTAGTGAAGATCACTATTAAAACCTCATTCTCTCTCACATTCATTCTTTGCTTCCTCCTTTAATATCACGAGATCCCCATCTTTCCTTTCTTTTTCTTTTCTTTCTCTCCTTCATGTTTTCTTCACAAACTCTCTCTTCTTCTACTTTCACTGTATTCTTATAGAGAGAAACAACGAACCGAACCGAACCAAACCTGAGTGTCTGTTTAATCTATAATGTCACATTCAAAGAAATCCTTACAAGACATAAACTTTGATTCTCTAACCAACCGATTCGCTGACTCACTCACCTTTAATGACGACAACAACAAGCCAGATTTCAAAGAGCTCGATCTGGGTTCGCCGGTTTCACCTTTGTTAACCCGTGGCTCTGTTAGTAACGCCAATGGTGTCACTACATCAACCAGCAGCTCCAGCTCCTCTGGTTCAGCCTCAGGCAAAAGCAATACCAATACCACCCCTCAATTGCCTAAAAACAAAACAAAAAATCACTCCGGCGAGCTCTCGGGCTCACCCGGATCCGGCCCTACTCCACGTAACTTGAAACCGGGTCACCGGAGATCAGTCTCTGCTGGTCCACCATTGATCTATTCTGGTTCCAGTTTCAGTACAGTGAGCAGTAGTGCCAGTATCTATAACGGAAATGGAGCACATTCAGTTTCTTCAAATCCCAACGCCGCAAGTGTGCTCCCAAGTGGCAACATTTGTCCATCTGGGAAGATCCTCAAAACTGGCATGGCTTGTCGTGTCTCTACCCGAACTGACACGTTGGGTACGGGCACGGGAAACTATGGACACGGCAGCATAATGCGCGGTCATAGCAATAATAATAACAATAATCATAATTATAATAATGCGAAATTAAGTAATGTAGTGGATGCAGAGGAGGTGAAGAGGGCGGGCAATGAGATGTATAAAAGAGGTAATTTTGTTGAGGCTTTGAAGTTGTACGATAAGGCCATATCCATGTCGCCTGAAAACGCCGCGTATAGGAGTAACCGGGCGGCGGCTTTGACGGCAATGGGGAGGTTGAGTGAGGCTGTTTCGGAATGTGAGGAGGCTGTGAGATTGGACCCTGCTTATATGAGGGCTCACCAGAGGCTGGCTTCTCTTTATCTTAGGTGAGTTTGTTCGTTTCTTGCTTAGTTTTCTGTTCTTGTGTAATGAAGTGTTTTATTTTTTTTTTTTCTTGGAAGAAATGTTAATGTTAATGTTGTTGGTTTGTTGCGTTTTTTTGTTCTTGGATTTAGTGTTGCGTTTCCTATTGGTTTTGCCTTGGATTGGATCTGTTTCCGTGGGCTTCTCTCACGGGCATTGTGATATTGGTGTCTGTTTGCTCTGGCTTTAGGATCAGCTTCTGTGTTATCTTCCATTGGTGAATTTTCTTTTTTGTTTTGGTCATATTAGGATATTAGATCTTATGTTTCTATTTTCCCACTTACCGGTCTTGTTTCATTCTTTTTTTTTAAGTTACACGTTTAGATTGATTTGGTGCTTGAATTGCTAGCTGTCTAGAGTTGTTAACAGTACCTATCATTTATAGGAGTGTTGAATAGGTTGATCTGGTTGGTTTCTTGGATTTAAGTGGTTGAAATGTACGGTTCATTTTACTTTGCTATGTGATTGGTTCACTTTATAATTTTCCTTTGGCTTTCACATCAATCGTCTAGATATTCTAGTGCTCTTCGAGAATTCTTTTTATCATTTTTGTTTTCTATTCTAACTTGTCTTCTTCCACTCAACTTTAAGATTGTCATAGGTTATCTAGTTATGCTTGATGTGCTACCTTTCAGTTTTCTAATGCATTTAATGGATCTTCATGCTTCTCTCCAATTTAGGTTCATATGATTTTCATGAACACCTTGTTTTTCAATGTTTAAGCATCAATTTTTATGAAGCAGCAATTTTAACTGGGTTACCTTTTCAGATTAGGGCAGGTTGAGAATGTCCGACGTCACCTCTTTTTCCCTGGGCAACACCCGGATCCTGCTGAGTTGCATAAGTTGCAATCATTTGAGAAGCATCTAAATCGATGTGCAGATAGCAGGAAGATTGGCGATTGGAAGAGCGTTGTCAGGGAAACTGATGCAGCGATGGCAATTGGAGTAGACTCCTCTCCTCAGGTGTAACTACTATCCTGACCTTTTTTTTCTTCTTCTGACTGATATAGAACTAGATTTCAGATTGCCTGAACATTTTAGAATGAAATTTACAGCTTGTTGCATGCAAAGCTGAAGCCCTGTTGAAACTCCACCAAATTGAAGATGCAGACTTTTGCCTGTCAAACATGCCCAGATTTGAACATTATCCTCCTACATCACAAGTCAAGTTCTTTGGTATGGTTGCAGAAGCTTACGTGCTCTATGTCCGAGCACAGGTTGAGATGGCACTGGGAAGGTGAGCTCTGAACTATGAATGTTGAAATTCATTTTCTTTTCCATATTTATTTGGGGTAAGTGAGAGTAGATGATAGATGTGGTGCAGATTTGAGAATGCAGTTTCCGCCACAGAGAAAGCTGAACTTATTGATTGCAACAATTTAGATATTGCAACATTGTTAAAGAATGTGAAAATGGTGGCAAGGGCTCGTACTCGTGGTAATGATCTTTTCAGTTCTGGAAGATATGCAGAAGCCTGCTCAGCTTATGGGGAAGGCCTCAAGTATGATACTTGCAACTCTGTTCTCTATTGTAACAGAGCAGTTTGTTGGTCCAAGCTTGGGTTTTATGAAAAATCCATAGAGGACTGCAATGAAGCCCTAAAAATTCAACCAAATTACACAAAGGCTCTTCTTCGCAGGGCTGCCTCGAATGGAAAGGTGAATAGAAATATTGCTTTTATGTTAGTATTTTTTGTGTGTTTTACAATTTACATAGTATTTTCTTTCTTTGTAAGTCTCTAATTGATTTTTGCATCTTTTGTAATTGGCTTTGTAGCTTGGGCGGTGGTCAGAAGCTGTCAGAGATTATGAGGTGTTGAGGAAAGAACTTCCTGGAGATAATGAGTTTGCTGAATATCTGCACCATGCACAGATTGCATTGAGGAAATCTAGCGGTGAGTTCACAAATAATATGAAATTGGGTGGTGAGGTAGAAGAGGTTTCAAGCTTAGAAAACTTTAAAGCTGCAATATCATCACCTGGTGAGATGTCTCTTGACTTAGTGTTATTTGTTTGTCTCTTCTCTTGTGCTATGCAGCATAACTCATCTTTGTTCCCCGATTTCAGGTGTTTCCATAGTTCATTTTAAAGTAGAGTCCAGTGAAAAATGTGAAGAAATATCCCCATTCGTAAATACACTCTGCATCCGATATCCATTGGTGCATTTCTTTAAGGTAGGTAATTTAATAATCTTCACTTGCCCTTAGTTGACTGGATCAGTACTCTTAATTATAAAAGTTTTCTTTAAATGAGTTTAATTGCATCATCTTTGCCATTTTTAGTTTTTTACCCATATATTTTCTGTTGGCTTATGAATTCAACCTTTTGAACGAGTTCTGACTTTGTTTGTGTAGGAATTAAATGGTTTGGGGATTCTAAATGTTCTTAACCAAAGAATAAAATAAAATACTAATTTACCAAAATAATTCAAACATGGATGTTATCTAAAATAGATATGTAAATAGTTTTGGTTTTTTTGACATATTGAAGGTGGATGTCGAGGAGAGCTTGGCAGTAGCGAAAGCGGAGGGAATAAGAACCATTCCAACTTTTAAGATTTACAAGAATGGGGATAAGGTGAAGGAGATGATCTGTCCAAGCCATCAAATCTTGGAGGAATCAGTGAGAAGTTATAGTCTATAGAATACATATTCATTCATGTTTTGTGATGGCTCAAGTCCCCACATCCAATGGTAATTTTCCAGTGAATTTATTCATCAATTCAATATTCATACTAGGACTACCAATTTTTACCTGTGACATAATCATGCTATATAATAGTTTCAGGAGTTTCAAGGCAATGAAAAACTAAAAGAGAGAAAATAGCTCCTTTAGTTCACATTTGAAATTATTTATTCTTTTCTTTATATATATAAATATATATACTTTCTGCTTTAATCCTTCAATTTTAAAGCCATTATTAGCTCTCTTTTTTTTTTCCTTCACCTTTCTTTAGAACAAACTTTTGCTTACATATGATGCTAGATTTTTTTTAGTGTCTGAAGAAAAGCTGGAAAAAAGCATTACAATTAAATTATATGATCCCCTCTAGTTTTGATGTGTTGTTGATGGAGAGAGATGGGGAGATGTGATCTGGCTGGTTGGTGACACTGTTGAATTGTTGGATTCCTGCTGGATTGTACTGAAAAAAGAGGGTGAATTATTGATGTGTTTTTTTATCCCTTAAAATCTTCATGTTAACTTCTTCACCTTTTTCTGCCTCCTCAATATTCGTTTTCACCCAGCTGAGCTGAGTTTTCTCCTGTCTGGCTTTAACTATAATTCTCTTAATTTATATTTCTTTTTACCCAGATGCATTTCGTCAGGATCGAGATAAATCCAGTCATTCCAAAATATTAGAAATTAATTAAACGAGGAAATTATTTTACTTAATTAATTTAACTCGTGAATTACTTTAAACAAGATTGTGGAATGCAGACTGGAGGAACCCACAGAAAGCTACAAACAAAATCTTGCTTGTAAATTTTGTGAAAAATTACCATTAATTTTTTGATATTTTAGAGTATTCTTTCTTTTGTTAAAGCGGGAGTCGATAAAATGTACCGAAATTAACAAAATGGTTTTGGACTCCTGTATTTCGAAGCCAACAATTTGGGTTTAGGCTCATTACGAAAAATGCCCTTGCCTGACTGGATGATAGGTACTTGTTTTACTTTAAAGTTTAAACAGGAAGGAGGGAGAGAGATCCAAGGAGATGGTCATTTTCGTACGGTGTGTACGTATATAGGTTAGTGTGGTTGTTGGAAGGCAGGAGAGGCCAGTCTCCTCTGGTAAATATGACCGTTCTGTTCTGTTTGATTCTCCTTGAAATACTAAAGCAACTTTTTGATTTTGGTGATGGTGCCACATCATCACCATCACCGATCATGCATATATATATTAGATCAAATTAAATTTGAAGTAGAAATTAATTCTAGTTTTTATTCTCCATATAAACAAGAGTGATTTTCAAAGAAACCCTTTAAGAGAAGCCTGGTATTTATATATAAACAGGCCTCATCGATCACAACAGATACAGAAACACAAGGACAAGCATTGATTAATTAATTACTGGCCAACATCAAATGCTTCAACAGGGAAAGTCTTGGTGATGCCAGCGAGACTTTTGAAGTGAATGTTGCCGGTTGGTGGATCATCAACTTTGATTTCACTAACAGGAGGCCAAAGCATGAGCTCTTTGGCCTTCACTCCCTTGAGCTTCTTGATCTTCTTCTTCTCAATATACCCATTTATTTCGGTATCATAACTCACGAGCTTCGTTATCATTTTGAACTCATGCTCCACTTTATTTTGTTGCACGATCCACATGTACCCGGTTTCTTTCACATACCCAACTTCGATTACGTTGGCCAGAGGGAGAAGCCCCGCTGGGAGTTGAAATTCTTGAAGAAGAGAGACTGCCAATTGCAGGCCTTCTTCATGCCCTTTCTTCACAATGCCTCCTTCTTTCTCTGCCATTGCTTAACTTAAATTTTTCGTATTTTGTGATAACAAGAATTAGGAAGCTTGTTTATATAATAGTTAAAATTTTAGATTAAGAGAATATGACAAAATTAGTGGGGTGAAAACGAAGCGCTTGTTTCTTTGTGATATTCGTCCAATCTTTTCCTGTTTCATATAATTTTCCTCCCACTTGTCAGTAACCTTTTGTCCAAATTAATTTATAAGCTAACCCTACCTCGGGTTGAACCACTGTTCATACTTAGAGAATTACAAGTCCCATTAATCTTGAAATTTGATTAGCTACCTCAGCTAATATAATAGACTTCAAAGTTGTTAATTATCTTCTACCATGGCGACATTTTGATGAGACGAGGTGCTGTGCCACGTCAGCTAATATACACAATCGCGTTACCGCGTCTGTTTTAAATTTCTAATATAACGTGAGCTACTAGTACTAGTGGAGAAGCGAGCGACACAAAAATGAAAGCGAGAAAGGAGAAGCTATCGATGGAAACATAAATTGTTTTTGTTCTCTCACACAAGCAAGCAGATCTCAAAGTCGATTTTCTCAACCAGGTTTACTTTTCGAAATTCATTTCTGGTCTGGTGACTACTCAATTAATTGTTATTTTATTTTGCAGATCATCGCCATGCATGGCTTCAAGAGAATCAACAAAGCTCCCAGCGTTAGATTGCTTGCCAGAACTCAATCACCTTAGATTTTCGTTAAAATTTTCTGTTTGATTCCCAAGAATATTACTTAATTAATCAAAAACCTAATTTTCTTGACAACCAAACTGGTTAGGATGTAGTATATATTAACGATTTGTCTATCTAAAAAATAACTGTACAGAGTGTGTTAATGAATGCCGTAAAGGCATTGGATGTGATGGATCCACACTGAATGAGAACATCTCGCCATTCGCATCCATCACTCTCAACCACATATTGGCTGACCTAAATGAACTCTTTTGGCAAGAGTGTTGCATCACTTCCATCGATGTCTTTAACAACACCGACATCTCCCCAACTTCAAATGCTTCTGCTTCTGCTTCTACTTCTACGCCGTTGTATCGTGGATTTGAGATTAGTGAGATGGCTGACGAAAAGGAAGAGGTCATAAACTTTGGCTTGACTGTTTGTTTTTGTTTTGATTGTTTAATTGTTTGCTCTGTTTTTGTGTTTTGGCGGGAGCGCGCTAAGCCAATTTAATTAGTGGTACGGACGAGGATGACCGAATTGTATTCCAGTGTAACAAAACTTCAGCCTGAAGCCAATTCTTCTCAACAACCAGCGGATGTTTCGGATGGTGTTGTGACAAGACCCAAGCGCAATTAGAGGATGCCAGCTCGCTTGCTGGATTAAAGGGAAGATTGAAGACTAATTGGAGGATGATTTATTTTTAATTTCCCATGTGATTGACGTAAAGAGAATGCTTGATTTTATTTCCTAAAGTGAGAAGGATTGCTTATAGACGAGACTCTATTTATAAGGGATATCATTTTTTTATTTTGGCAATGAATAATAATAATCCTCTACTTCTTAATACTTCTCTTCTTCCTAAACTCAAAATTCTCTCTGCTTCTGCAACTCTCTCATTTCTCCCTTACAATTGGTGCTCTCCTTCGACGTCACCTCCAAGGCTGACGGAACGCGTAGCCGCGATGTACAGACCCAACTTAAGGAACTTCAACAACAACACGATGATCATGCCGGTGAGTTAGCACATGTTCGAGATAACATGCTGGCTCTTATTGAACAGCGAGACAAACGAATGCTCGAACAAATCACAAACACCATTGTTACTCAGATCAACCAACTATCCGCTTCTTCCTCTCATCACGACACAACGTCAACGGGCCTTTTTGGACCTGCTCCTCAACCACAACAAAACCACATTCCACATTCCCAAAATACACAATCTGGTTACCAACCTACACGACCTCTAAAATTAATATGTCCGCGATTTTCTATGGGAGATCCAACAGATTGACTTTTCACAGTTAGGCAATATTTCAATTATTGTGAAACTCCACATGATGACTGTTTGCTCATTGTCTCAATGCATCTGGATAGTCCAACATCTCGTTGGTATCAAGGTTTAGTACATGATGGTCTTATAAGGGATTGGCAGACATTCGTGATAGAGATACATCGTCGTTTTGGGCCCTCTGAATATGATGATCCGGTTGCCAGTCTCACAAAGCTTACACAAACTGGATTGGTTCTTGAATATCAAGCAGCTTTCGAAGGTTTTTCTAGCAAGGTCTCCGGTCTATCTCCTGGTTTTTTAAAGAGTACTTTTATCTCGGGACTCAAAGCCCGCATTCGTCGGGCAGTGGGGGCTCAACGTTCGAGAGATTTCCATGACGCGTTTGCTCTTGCTCGTGTTTTCAAAGAGCAATTCACAGAAGAACGTTTCATTAACCGACCATGGAATTTTAAACTAAATTCCCCTACGTTTAATTCTGCGGTGTCTCCAAATTGACAGTTGCCTACTTCCACTACGACAGATAAGCTTCCCATTCGTCGCCTTAGTCCAGTTGAAATTCAGTTGCATCGTGAGAAAGGATTATGTTATAATTGTGATGAAAAATTTGTCATTGGCCATCGTTGCAAAGGAAAATCCACATTGCTTTATCTGGAAGGACTAGATGATGATATCGAGAATGATCAGCCACCTGAAGATACACCTCTTTCAGATCAAGAAATTAGCTACATTGCTTTGTTTGGACAGCATTCTTCCAAATCTCTTAGGCTACAAGGTATAATTAACTCAACTACGATACAAGTTTTAATTGATGGCTGTAGCACCCACAACTTCATCACTGGTCGCATGGCTAATTTCATTGGCTTGCCAATTTCCGCAGTTAGCAAATTCAAGGTTCAGGTGGGTAATGGTGATTCATTGACGTGTCACGAGGTGTGCCGATCAGTGTCATTGATGCTGCAGTCTGCTCTCTTTTCCTTAGATTTATTTGTATTGGATTTACAAGGGGCGGATGTTTATTAGGGGTCCAATGGCTAGAGACGTTAGGACCAATAATAACAAATTATGCAGAGATGACAATGACATTTCAGTGGGAAGATCGTAAGGTGGTGTTTCTCCTTCTCAATTCCATAAGCTAATGGCCCACAACGTCTCTTCATGCTTTATGCGCTTATATGTGGTGCTTGAACAAGTGATGAATGTCTCTGAGCATGTGACGTCAAAGGTACAACCACTTCTTCATGAATTTGCTGATATCTTCAAGGATCTTACATAGTTACCTCCAATCTGATCCTTTAGTCATAGAACTCAACTTACTGAAGGTACTTCTGCCATTAATGTGAAACCTTACCGTTACCCCTATTTTCAGAAAAATGAAATTGAGCAACTGGTACAGGAGATGTTAGACTCGGGAATCATCTGTCCAAGTCAATCTGAATTTAGTTCACCAGTGTTGTTGGGTAAGAAGGAAGATGGCACATGAAGATTTTGTGTTGAT